ACTCCATCATCCCCGAAACAGCATGTACAGACAGTAGCATATCCAGCTCACGAAAAGATCCTCTTGTTTTGCCAGAGAATGTGTCCCATACATCAAATATGGTCAGAAATCTAATACAATTTTGATAGATGCTGTTTGTTTTAGTGACCTATTATCCACTAATGGAATTTTGAAAATATCTGATGGAAATGCTTCACAAGAATCAAACCCTAATGACCTCATATCTACTGTCGCTGATCCTCACCATCTAGTCAGTCCTAGTGAACTCTCTACTCAACGCGGGAAATATGCTTCAAATAGAGTCACACTAACTGTTTCTTGGGTATATGAGGACGCAACATTATTTCGAGGGGGAGGATAGACGCGAGAAAAATTTAAAATCCGGACATCAACTCCGGATCTCCAAAAAAAGGGAGCTGTTGGGATATTCAGGAAAATATCCCAAAATATCTTGTTAAGCCTAATGCTATCCTTGGACATGAAATGGTATCATCTTATTGGTCAATATTTATTTAACGTGTTATTTTCCTACTGGCCATTATTGTACAATGTTATTTTCTATTTTATGGTACGTTGTGGTCTGCTTGACTGGTATATAAACAAAGTATGTTTGAAATATAATGATTCATATATCCGAGGCTGTAACTTGTGTTCTGAACTTAACTGGCTGGGCTAGACAGGGAAGCGAGACCAATCAGAACCTTAGGTCGTTCTACGTGTTGCGCGTCTTTGGTCCGATCAATAATTCGCTACCCTTAATCCGCAGCATTTTTCACGTCATAACAGACTGTTACATAGTCATAGAGTAATAGAAAGCAAATAACTTTGGAGTAAACTTTCACTTTGTTTAATAGACTGAAAACTGATGTTATTGGAAGAAAATATAAGCGAGATTTTTCAATCCATGACAAGATCAAGTTAATACGATAAATGAAGTGAGTAATAAACGTACTTAACTACTTTAATAAGTATTATGATATTGTATAGGAAAATATGAAACTAGTCATTTGAGTTCAAATCTCTATTATCATAAAAATATGCATACTGAATTAGAAAAATATACTACAATTAATATGAATTGATACTTTGGTTATCACTTATTCATATCTTCTATATAACAGTTATTAAAACATGAAATTGACTATATTATATAACCCCCCCCCAAATGCCATGGTATGGCCGAGAGTGGAGAGAGTCCGCTCTCCCTCTCGAAATACTCTCATATGGTCACGCATATATAGTCTCTGCCAAGGAAGTTCTACTCATTGCTTTATCGTGGCATTACTGTTGTTTACGAAATTGAGAGGACGAAAAGCGAATGTCCGACGCTTTAACCAAGTTGGTGGACATGGAGAGTCCACTTGGGAGACTTGGAAAACCCTGATTCCAAACCAATGGTGCACATGGGCTTCAGGATCCTGAGGGGACAAATGGCATATGATCCAATCGTCAATAACCGGCTACCATGAGACTGCATCTCCTGACGTTGATCCACTGCCTTGTGGATCAGACCTTCAGGTCGAAAGCTACGGATGTGGCCCTCTAAGAAAACCACCTGTTTCGGTTTGGGCATCCGAGCAGTATCACAGCCCTCACACATATGAAATGAGATTTGTGTGGCGTATATGTATTTGGTGCCTCCTTGTACCAATATCTATGTGTTAAAATAAACTAAATAAATTATATATACATACACAATTACCAAATTCATTTAATAGTAATTTATAGATGGTGGAGAAGATTGGTAGCTCAGATGGATGATTTTGATGAAGTTTCGTTCTTTGAGCTGATTGGTTTGGTTGTCGAGCTTTCATCGTTCTTCTGAACGTCATCATTACCAGCACAAACTTCAGACAGAAGTGAAGTGTTCGAATTTCTCTACATATGGTTCACAGTTTGTCCTGTACAACTCGATGTTGATTAATTCTTGTTGGCCTTATACAAAGAAGTAAACAATGACAGGTTTAAGTTCAACAAGAATCAATCAACATCGACGTGTACAGGACAAGCCGTGAACAACATGGGGAGAAATTCGAATACTTCACTTCTATCTGGAGTTTGTGCTGATGATGTCGTTAAGAAGAACGATGAAAGCTCCATGACCAAACCATCCAGCTTAGAGAATAAAACTCCATGAAAATAGTCATTTATACGCGATTACATTCTCACAAAGTATCTTTTTGTGCATTTTGATATTTATTTTTTCTAATATATACTTCATCAAAAAGGGTTTATACAAGTGTAAGATAATGCTTTTTTATTGAAATCATGAACCGATTGATGTTAGACCACCGTTGGAAACCTGGAAGCACTGAACGGCCGTTTCGTCCTATTGTGGGACTCCTCAGCTGTTCGCATCAACGATCCCGCTCGCGGGATTCGAACCCAGGGCCTTCGGTCTCGCGCGCGAATGCTTAACCAATTGGACCACTGAGTCACCCGGTATCCAACGGTGATAATGTCTAACTCCAACCAATCCGCGAAATTGAGCGACACATCCACCATTGTCATCAGTGAGTTACTATGTCACAACAGACCTAGTTGAATAACTCCACTGTTCATGACTGCTCACTAGAACTCTAAGAAATATTTCTTGAAGCTAGTCACTAGTGACTATATGATGATTATTATCAGGTGTTTAAATCAAGTGTATACCTTAAACAATTGAGTAATAACAATTGAACAACTATCTCTCACATAATTTAATCATATGATATTGCCTTTATTTAACAACGAATCTATCATCAAACAAATAAAAAATCTACTAAATTTACATAAGATTACATGACAAAGTTATATCATAAAACCACAATCTAATAAAGACCATTTGAACAGTTAAATCTATCTATCATACTTTATAAGTTACAATCATATGATCATAATTTTACGATTGATTGATATAAACATGGTTTCACTTTTACTTATATCGAAATAAAATTGTAAAACAAAAATTTAAGAAAGAATTGTATTGCTACTAGATTTATGAGTTTAATTTGATGCAACCATAGCAACAACAACAACACCACCACCACCACCACCACTAGCAACAGTAGGAAGAAAAACTACGATCAACAAAGTAGCAACAGATTTGTGATAATAGTCTTCTGACTGATTAGAATTGAACAACACAATTAAAGGTTAGAAGTAATTGAGTATGAATTACATGTTCATCTATCTGTTTAATACATACAGCTCATACATGTTGTAATGTTTCATCAGATTAGTGCTTGGTACTTTTAACTCTATTTAATTTCCATTTTATTATCTATTCCTCTTAGTGTAACAATTTGAAATGATACACAACTATACTAGATCTAATGTACCATATAACTAATTGAATAATATTGAAAATCTATAACATTACTCATTATACAATTCATTTACATACATAAAGATAGATGGAGAACATATCTTATGATACATCATATGAACACAGTAAACACGTAGACTGTATACAATAGATCAACAACACTGTACGATGTACTCTACACATGTATATAGCGTCTAGAGTAAATGTTTAGGGGATGTATTCAAAACACAGTTCGTTATTATCAACAGTAACAAACAAGTCTAGAAATGTATTAGGATACTATGCGTTAAATCCTTCTAGATAATTGTTAGCATAGATTATCTGTAGTTATAAGTCAAGGAAAATCATTGGAAACAAAGAAGCCTCAACAATTTCACCTCAATGTTCTATAAGATATGGTAACTTGAAACTATGTACACATATCCCACGTCCAACGTTGCACTTGACTGAGTATGGAACTCCTCAGTGGTGCGAATTCACTATCCCATTCGAGACTGAACTCAAGACTTTCAAGTATCGCTAAGTCATTAATTTTTGGATCATTGAGACGACAGTCAATGGTTCATATTTCTAGCTTCGATCGGTTCGAAATGTTGTGGAATTTATTGCAAAGGAATTGCTTGACTTCAACATGACTGATTTTGCTGGTGGTTCTCACTAAAACTCTAAGAATGACCTTTCGAAGTTAGTCGATAGGATTTTTAGTATAGAATTTGGTAGAAATTGTTGAATTTATGGTTTGACATCACGCACCGACTTCATTTGGACAATATATTCACAAGCATATATTTCAAATAAACAAGAACAATTATTCTGTAGAACAAATATACTAACTGAATTTTCTCTAGAACATAGTTGTCAGTCAGTCAGTAACAACGTAGAACTTCGTACGTACGTACGTACATCAGTTCAAGTTGTCATATTACATTACCACACAGACACAAATGTCGATTTAAAACCCATGTGGTAGAGGCGGTTAGAGTATAAGCAATAATCGGAAACATTAGAGTTTGAAGATGTTATTTAAAGAGTATAATTCAGTGAGATAAATTTGGAAAGAGGAAAAAAAGAGACAAGGATGATTCAGGAGATCAGAATTTAAGCGAACACAAAGAATGGATGCAATTGCGTCATTGCAAACGATTTTCAGCAATGTCATTCAAGGTCTCTAACCATCGGTTGCTATCATCTCGCGGTCCCCAACCAGGTAGTCTACATCTACCAACATGACTCAGTCTACTTGTCAGTGAATTCAAGGACTTGTGCCATGTTTTAGTCTGGACGCCCCTAGCTTTCTTCCAACCTACTGCTATACCACTGAACATAGCACGTCGAGGTAGTCGGTCGTTGGGCATACGTAACACAAGTCCCAGCCATCTCAACTGATGAAGTTCACTACTTCATCAATTGATTTGCCAACCTTACCTAGTACCCGTTTCCTAACAACTGCGTTATTTACTCGATTGTCCCAGGATATACGAGCAATGTTTCGAAGACACCTATGATCAAATACTAGTAACATAATTGTACAATTAATATATGTATCAACCAATATGAATGAGTGTGAAAATCCAGTAGTCAGCATTTATTATGAACAGGGAGTCCAGTATCGAAAATAGATTCATATTATCATTCCTTGAAACTTTAAAAAAAAGAAGGATAAATATATTTATGAAGAGTAGTGGCTAACCTATTGTGAAGATTTGTCAGTTGGACTGAAGACCGAATTCTCAGGTACTTCAAATTCCACTCTAGATAATCAGAAAAAAAAGAAAAGAAAAAGAAAAAATTGTGAGTAATTAAAGAGAGAGAGAGAAAAAAAAGAATCATCGGAAGAGCACACTGTACATAAACATGTGTTTAATTCATAGCAATTGAATAACCATGTGATTGAAAGCAATTACAAAACAAAACAAAACAAACTTTTATCATCAATAATGTTAAGCCTTTTCTTCATTCATTATTTTGTTAGTGATCCATTCATAGAAACTGATAGTCTACATGATATTTTTCTTTTGTCAATCACAAGTGTTACATAGCTATTCTTTCATTCAAATATAGATAGAAACATAGCAGAAAATTGAACACTAAACAAAACCATTATTAATATAAAAAAACGTTTGTGCATTTAATGTTAATGACTGCTTTATATATAGATAGATAGATAAAAGTATCTTCCATAAACTATTTGATTACTCTAATCTAATCAATATTAATCTATATTTTTCTTCAATCAGTTCTAGTTGATTGCATAGAATAATAGCTTAGATTGATATCATGAATAAATTAATGTTAGACAAGTATTGAAAACATAGAAGCACTAGATGACCGTTTCGTCTTAGTGTGGAACTCCTCACCACTGCGCATCCACGATCTCATCTCGTAAGATTTGAACCCAAGACCTTCGGTTTCACGCACTGAATTGGCATCCAATGGTGTTAATAGTTAACCTCAACCAATACACGATATTGTGCGACCATCCACTCATTGTCTTCAGTCAGTAACTGACTCACAACAGACTCGGTTGAACTCCACTGGTCACTCTTACTGACTAGAACTCCAAGAAGTTCATCTTGAAGCTAGTCACCATCGAATGCCAGCTCAGTGGTCTATAGGTCAAGAGTTGGTGAGCGAAACCGAAGATCCTGGGTTCGAATCCCTTTAGTGTGGGATTGTGGATGCGCACTGTTGAAGAGTTCCACACAAGAACGAAACGGTCATCTAGTGCTTCCATATTTTCAATGCTTGTCTAACATTAATCCATTCATGATATTAATCTAAACTCAACAATCTCCATATGAATATAAATACAATGCGTATCAATGACATATTGAATCTTTATTAGGATCACTTAAACTTTAATCATTATTTCTAACCAAGTGAGATAAAGTGAAATAATCATCTTTTTTATACCGAATTTCATCTATACAAAATGACTAATATTTCAATCATGTAATTATTAAACGAATCATCATATGATCAAAATACCATTTTCTTTGATATAATCATTATGATGTAAATAGAATTACTTTCCATCTTTAGAATACTACTACTACTACTACTACTATGGAGATATTAAATAGTTTCAACAACACAAAAATAAAAACATGGAAGTGAATGATTAACTGTCATGGGTGTGTTTGTTTTTTATAAACATACTAGAAAAACTCAAAGATTAGAACAATATTGTTTTTGTTATATTCCGATGAGAGTATTGAATGGTAACGTTTAAGATCCATTTATAGATCAATACTATACACGGATATTTTTATTGTATAATTGTTAAGTAACTCAACTATGCATATTCATATTCCTCTTATTGTAAGATTTATTTTAACCTATGGAGTATTATGATACAATTTAGCATTCTTGAGTTATACCCTGTCTATCAATTACTATCTCCCTTATTCACAGCCACATTTGGCTAACTCTTGTACAAATGTTGTATCCTAGTTTTATGGTACGATGTGGTTTGTTTGATTGGTGTATAAACCGAGTATGTTTGAAATAAATGATTCATATCGCAGAGGCTGAAATTGATGTTCTGAACTTAACAAGCAAGAAGCACAACCGATAAAGACTCTAGACTGCTCATACTTGTTTTATGCATCGTCATTGGTCCGGTCGATAATTCACTGTTCTCTGATTGACAGTATTATTACGTTATACATTGATATGGGAACAAACCCACAAGTTATAACAGTTTTCAATCAGATCTTCAGTAAATTTTACTCTAATATATAGAAATATTTCGATACATGAAGAAAAAAAAGCATTCAATCAATCAAGGTAGTTCTGCAAAAGATGTCTTGGATGATAATGGTTAATTAGGAAGGATTATTAAAACTGTAAAATACAGTTTAAGATACGAAATATTTGAAAAATGCGTAAAAGAATAGAACTTTGTAATTAAAAAATATATATATAGATGATAGACAGTGATCAACAAAGAGGTATATCCTGGAGTTCTAGTGAGAAACAGTGATCAGTAGAGTATAACTGGGTCTGTCGTGAGATAGTTACTCACTAGAGACAATAGTGAATGTGCAGATCAATTTCGTGGATTGGTTGAAGTTAGACATTACCACTATTGGATGCCGGCCGACTCAGTGGTTTAGTGGTTAAGCGTTCGCATACGAGACAGATAGGTCTTGGGTTAGAATCTCGCGAGGTGGGATCGTGAATGCGCACTGCTGAGGTGTCCCACAATAGGACGAAATGGCCGTCCAGTGCTTCCAGGTTTTTCATGATGGTCTAGCTTCAATTGACTCATGGTCTCAATCATTAAAATTACTATAATATCCACAAAAACCCTTCTGATATGACATAAAAATGACGACTGTGACAAACATAAGATTATACTAGTTTAGTTTACAAAATTCAGAAAATTTTACAGTAATTTATAGGACAGATGATTCAAACTAATGGATTTGTTGAGATATTGTTAACAGTGTTGACATTTACGATGGGAATATAAGACAGAGAAATTAACTCTGAAAGAGATCTTGTTGTTTTTCTATGCAGTCTCAATATGTAAATAATGGCAAGGTTAGATGGAGAGAACTGAGAAAAGATGGTAAGTCGGTTGGTGAAGCTGTGAATCTTCATAGGCTGAGGTATATGAAACACATGTTCTCCGTTCTCCAATATTGTCTACCTTGAATCTTGATACTGACTAATGTAGCAGTGAGTTGGAGTAAGTCTATAGGGAGATAAACTAAGACCAATGATTAGTTTATCAGATTATAGTGAGCATCATTTCTGCCACAATTCTATACATACCTCCTGCTGACAACTTCCAATTAACACCAAATCTATGTCTAGGATTTTCTGCCGATTAACTACGACCATCTAACATACATACTTATATTCGTCACTTAAGAAATTGTTAGATCATCCCGTACAATCGATATACATAACCCATTTTCAAGACAGCATTGTTATTATTGTTACTACACAATAAATAGATACAAAGCATTATGGAATATCAGAATTTATGCATTAGCTGAACTAACAAGCTATATTAAATAATTTAGAGCATATAGCATTTTGATACACAAATAATTCGAATTAAAGTACACAGAAAAGAAATTAAGATTAAAACGTGAAATTAAGTTAGAAACAAAAATATACCGATAACCAACTGCTCGAACAAAAGATTGTAACATCAAATATTATTTTAGTAAGAAGTTTATCGAGTTCTTCTAAGTTGGAAATTACTTTCATTGTGAACTGTAATCATCAGTAGGGTAGTTGAAAACTAGTGAGAACCAGGCAAATATTTTTTTAATAGGTTGAAATCATGAGTCAATTGAAGCTGGATCATCATGGGAAACCTGGGAGCACTGGACGGCCGTTTCGTCCTAGTACAAGACTCCTCGGCAGTGCGCACCCACGCGGGACTCGAACCCAGGACCTACTGGTTTCGCACGCGAGCACTTAACCACTAGACCACTGAGCCGGCCGGCATCTAATGGTGTTAATGTCGAACTTCAACCAATCCACGAAGTTACGCCACCGTACACCATTGTTTTCAGTGAGCTGATATCTCACAACAGACCTGGTTGAACTCTACTGGTAACGGCTTCTCACTAGAACTCCAGAAGTATCTCCTGAAGTCAGTCACTACTGAGCAGTTGACTAATATCAGAATGGGTTTTGTGGAGATTTTTTTCTAGTTAAGAACTGTTTCGCTAATGTCCATTGATAACATAGCACAGAGTCATAGCAATCAAGAAAACATTGATGAACCACAGATTTGCAATTCAGTATTTTGCACTTCTTAATTTCAAATGCCTAGGAATATAATTTAATCATGATACAAACTGTACAACTACCGTACTTCTTACAAATTATGGTTGTTTACTAGAATCGAAAGTTGATCCAATACTCTTAGGGATTTTAAATAGTCCTGCAGCTAGTTTTTAAATTCGAAATAGGTATTACTTTTGAGGCTTTTATTTCATACAAAGCATAATGATTTTTTCCATTGAGCAAATTATTGTTTCCATATACTATTGTTATAGGGTGTTGCGGAGTTTGATGGATTTGAATGTCCATATCGCGGACTAATTTTGGTTAGACAATCGTTGAAAACCAGGAAGGACTGGAAATTTATCTGGTCATAATATTGGACTTCACAGTAGTGCATACTCACGACTGTCCCGGGAATAAAACCTCAGGCTTTGAAATCGATAATCTCTATAATACTCTATAATCAAAATTGTCATCTACTTACTAGTGACCAATTTTAAGAGATGATTCCTGGAATTATAGTGAGGAATCATTGAGGGGATTCAACTATATCCGGAGTGAAATAGTTACTGATTTATAGCATTGAACAAAAGTCACGCTCGATTAAATGAAGAATAAAAACAATAGGATTATAACTCAGATATCTAAAGCTGAAACGTTTTCCATAAGGCTTGAAGGTTTTAGACTCAAACTCTAATGAAATCGTAGATAGATACCACCGGGACAGAATAAATTTCCAGTATTTCCTAATTGTTAAGATTTCCTAATTGAAGTCAGTTCGTGATATAAGAACTTCAATGGAAGATTATTACTACTAATAAGATAGATAATATACCGATTTAGGCAAATTACTTACGTACTTGTATACTTGTATTTAAAAATATTATGATGTGAACATCAGTAAAAATAGCATACATAATTTATAACTAACCTAATGTCTTATAGTTTAAGTAATCGACTGATCCATTAGATGAATAGTTATTCATTGGAAAATATT